ATGAGAAGCTCCCTCCCACCCTGGCCCTTCACTCCCTCTCACTGGAGCGTTTTTAGGTCTCTCCAGAAATCTTCTAGAAAGACAAAGACAGAATCTTGAAAGAAAGACGTGTATGGGACACACGTGCACGTGCTCCGTGTTTACATAAATGAAGCCCGTCATTCATGCTGCTCTTCAGGTGCTTTCTTTTACCTTGGAGATCTTACATGATCATCCTTATGGGCTTCCATCTATTCTTTCCCCCATATTTCATTGTATGGATTTGTTCCACTTCATTCACCAGGTCTCGCTGATAAATATTGAGGTTTCAAATAGCCTTTACCCTAGCCCACATTTCTGCAACAACTGACTTTGAATTTCCATCGGCTCACACATCTCCTAGTGTACCTGTAGTCTACATCCTAAAGGCTATTGATGAATCAGTAAATCCACTTGGTTCTCGTAGATATTGCCAAACTGCCCTCCAAAGAGACAGTGCCCACTCCTCTTCCATCAGTAGGACCTAAGGGTGCAGCTGACCCAACACCCTCATCATAGAGCCTGTTAGTCTTTTTTACTTGTAATCCTAAGAATAGAAGAATCACCTTTCACTGTTCAAACTTAGCTGTAACTTAACTTCCTTTAAACCATACGTGAAGGTGAGGTTCTCTCTTCTTCCTGTCTGTGTCTGTTGCTCATGTTCCCTTTGGTTTCTAGTTCCCTGACAGGTCTATACATGCTGCTATTTTGTAGTTATTTTTCTGACCTTGTCTTTCACTTCTGTTACTGCTTGTTTTCGTACAGAAAATTTTAATTAGTAGTGCAGTTTGTCACCTCCTTTCTATATATTTTCCGGAGATTGCCTCTTAGAAGAAGCCTTACCAACACGACTACCATGGTTAAGTGTTTATCCAGTTTTCTTCCAGGACTTACACTAGTTTGTTTTCAACTTTTAACTTTTTGATCAGAATAATTTAATTAATTCATTTGGTATAAGGATTGAAGGATGAATCCATTTTTTTGACTTTCTATGTATGTCCATGTAGCAGTCTCCATTCCAATTCTTAACCAATAAGTTTTCCCCCACAGTTTTGAAATGCCATGTTAACGGGGTCCAAAAATTGCTGCATCACTATACTGAAAATTCTTGGATGATAAAATTAATAAATTAAGTCCTCCCTGGTACATTCAAAGAATCATCAAAACAGTAGCTTAAATAGTGTGCTTACAATGTCAGGCCCTGTTCTAAGCATGTTGCATGTATTTTCTCATTTAATCCACATAATCATGATGGAAAGTAGATGCTGGTAGTTCCTTTTACCAGTGAGGACACTGAAGCACGTGGTTAGTCGCTTTCTCAAGGTCACACTCATGGGAATGGCAGGGTCATGATTCAAGCCCAGTTTGACTTTACAATCCATGCTCTGTCTGCACCGTCTGCTTCCACAAAATGAAAACCACCAGGGTGTGTGCTTCCTACATGCCAAACATTATGCTTAGAACTTCAGATCATAAATTCATTTAATCGTCACAAGAATCCTAACAGGTAAGCACCAGTGCTGAATCCATTCTACAGATCAGCAAAGGAGGCCAAGACCAGCCAGAGTGGGGAATGGTGTAGGAAGAGGCCAGCAAAGGAGAACTTTTGCCCTGTCTCTGCAGCAGCAAGGAGTCCCAAAAGTGTTTGAACTGAGGCAGATCTCAGATCTGGCTTTTGTGAAGAATGGCCGGGGGAAGGGCATAGAGTGGGTGTGTGGGAACCTGGCGGGACAGGTAACTTGGCATAGTGAGCACAGGTCGCTTGCTATCCATGGTGAGTAGGCAGGGCCGGCATGCAGACCACCATCTGGGCCCCTTTTCATTGGCCAGTCTGTGGCTGGCTTAGCCCTCCGGAGTGATGCTTGCAGTGTCTCCATTTTCAGGGAAAACTAAAATATCAGGAAACCAAAGGCAACTCTGGTCCCTGTGCTCACCCAACTTGTAAGTGTTCACCCCTAAACATTCTTCCTCCGACCCTTGCTATGCAGAACCGTTCAGATGCTGGGTTGCCAACTCCCTACAGCCTTGAAAACTGGATCTGGCGATTCCGTCACCATCCTCTGTCTTCTCAGATAGAAACCAAGGAGGTTCTGCTGAGGTGTTGATAGATGAGCTGGCTGGTGCCCCATTATCATTAGATCTTTCGAGGAAGTCTCTCAGTTTTAGGTTAGCTTCACCTCAGATTGCTGCATATTCTCCTGAAGTTACTTTGTGAATTTTTAGAATGTTTTCTATTTGTCTGAAGGGCTAATTCTGGGCCACTGCCACTGTGCTACTCTTAACCATCCTCTCTCCCTGCAGATCCGGGTGATGGTGGACCTGTGTAACAGCACCAAGGGCATCTGCCTGACAGGTAGGCCCCCCTGCACCACTCACGTGGCCGGCATATGTACTTGCCAAAGGCCAGGGGCAGGATGAGCCCCCAGGGACACTTTAGATTATAAAAATACATGTTGCTTTAGTCTTACCAGATGTTTTTAATGGGCTGAAAATTAATTGTAATACAATTATGAAAAATAATATTTTTGGTATTACCATAGAAATATAGCCATGGAAAATAACTAGGCCTTGTAATTAAAAGCATGTGATATCTTGAACCAGGGCCATAGATGTTTTCCTTCTTTCCATTAGTTTTTAAAAAGGAGGGGGAGGGGAAAAAGCAAGGAAAACAGCCATGCTGAGTGGTAGTGCCAGAGAAGAGTGTGCCCTCAGCAAGAGTACAGCTAACCTCTGAACAACGAAGGTCCCAACTGCACAGCTCCACTTATACACCGATTTTGCTGTAAACAGGTGGTGTAAACTTATAGTGTCGCTAAATACTGCACAGTGTTGAAAATGTACTTGCTCTTTCTTAGGCTTTTCTCAATAACATCTGCTTTCCTTTAGTTTATTATACTAGAATACCATATATGATGCACGTACCATTCAAAAGTGTGTTAACAGTGTTATTGGTAAGGCTTCCAGTCAACAGCAAGCTATTAGTAGACACATTTGAGGGGAGTCAGAAGTCACACTAGGATTTTCTTTCTTTCTTTCTTTCTTTCTTTCTTTCTTTCTTTCTTTCTTTCTTTCTTTCTTTCTTTCTTTCTTTCTTTCTTTCTTTCTTTCTT